TTGAAGTTCAAAATATTTTAGTAATTAATGGTGTGATGTTTTTCTTCCTGAGAATAATTTCATTTTTGAAGATTTTGACCAGTTGATTCAGTTGGTTAGAATAGAAATTCTCAGGTGACCAAGGAATACAGTCTGTAGAGTATAGAAAGTCATTTTGGTGGGATGAAGTTTTTTTGTTTTTGTTTTTGTTTTTAAATAACTGCTAAGAAAATATCTTTGTGAATCACTATGTCCAAATATTCTTGTTCTACTTGGACCTGAGTGAGTTACTGAATTTTCTTTAGCCTGAAATATGTGTGTGTTTTATTACTTTTTTTTTATGTGTGTGTGTTTTAAACATGTCAGTACTTATGTACTGCTTCATTTTTCTGAACCATTAATCCAATGTGTTGATGTTAAAATGAGTGCTTCATATCTTCTCCATTTTGTGTAATTTTGATACTATATTCTTCATTTAAGTCTAAATGAATCATGATTGTTATTTCTCTTCCCCTCCCCCCACTCCATTCTTTTTAGCAAATGACAGTCACATGCAGTACTCTTAACCATTCCTGGAACAGTTAAGGTATTAGGTTAAATCTTACAAACTGAAATTTAGTTTGTATTTTGCTTCTGACTTGTCTCAGTAACTATGTGCAATTACTGACTTCTGTATCATAATAACCAAAGAAGTGGCATTGCTGGATGGAAATTGGGAATTTAGGCAATTGTCTAGTTGATTTTTGTCTAAAGAAATAATTTTGTCTTACAAGTTCTGATAAGAGAGAGGCTCTTTGTTTGTTTGACTTAGCAAGATAATTACCTGTCTTTAACCTTACCAGTGTACAATAACTAGTCTTAGTTTCCTTATCTTTTAAATGGGAAATGATAAAACAGTAATATTTAGAGAAATATGTGAGATTTATTTAGTTCACTTTTAATAGACTAAAATCATCATGTGAAAAGTATGCTGTAAGTGTGAATTATTGATACTTTTTCATTTTTCCTCACCCTAAGAGACAGTGCCTGAAATAGCTACCTTCCTTACCCCACATGTCAAGACTGAGAAACTTAATACATACCATGATCACATCTTTTGAGAAAGAATTGAATTGCTGTCGTTAAAAGCAGCGGGACATCTTGCAACTGTTTAAATAGCAATTCTTAATATAATCTTTTCTGTCGAGAAATATAACCATTCTTAGGTGTGGCACAAAATACGTTTTAATATATTGACTCACTGCTTAGAGTTGTCAAGTTTATCAATAAATTGGTTTTTATACTGAATAATTAGATCTGGAATTATAGACATCCAGAGGGGTTCAAGTTCCATTATAGAATCATTTAATAGAAAATTATGAATATTGATTTTTTTTTAAAGTAGGCTCCATGCCCAGCATGGAGCCCAATGTAGAGCCAAACTCATGACTGTGAGATCAAGACGTGAGCTGAGATCAGGCGTCTGATGCTTAACCTACTGAGCCGCCTCTGATTTATCAATTTTTTAAACCAAAAGGGACAGTGTAAGCATGGAGCAAGATGAGTTATTTGAAAATCCCAAAGAAATTCTGTTAAAAAGCTTTCTTTGACAGTTTAAGCTTGCTCTTTTGAATGGCTATTTTTTTGGTCCTCTTGGTTTAAAAACAATTCATAGATGTCGTTCATGTTTCTAGTAACTAATTAAGCACTACAGAGACATTTTTAATGGAAAGCAACATTTTTCTGTCCACATACCTTCCCTATCCCAGTTTTATTCCCTTGAAGCAAACTCCTTTACCCATCTCTGATTTTAGTCCTTCTGTTGGTGTTTCTGCATAACTCTAAATTATATACAGTACTTACATCTATTTGTTGAATTGTTTTTGTTTTTGAAGATTTTATTTATTTGACAGAGAGAGAGAGCGAGAGCAGGAACACAAGCAGGGGGAGTGGGAGAGGGAGAAGCAGGCTTCCTGC